CATTTCTTTTCTGTCTTAATGATACTCTACCCTCTTCATTTATTTACTTAGTAACCAGCAGATGGACATTTGGATTGTTTCCATTCGGGCTATCATCTTCGTGCATTTATTCTTACCCATTCTTCCTTGTGCATACACCCTGAAGGAGTCTCTCCGGGTATGTGGTAACCCTATACTCCACTTATTAAGAAGCTGCCCATCGATTTTCCAAAGGGAGCACACCATGACCTTCAGATCAGCAACTGATTTCTCTACATCTTCAGCAATTCTTACTCTCTAAACTCTTTATCCTTTTCTGTGGGTATTTAATGCTCTACCATTGTGGGTTTATTTTATTTATTCTTATTTCTAAAGTTCTGGAAAGGGCTAAGAATTCAACCCAGAGTCTTACATACACTAAACAAGTATCCTCTAGTGGCGCTACATCCCAGGCCTGTACTTTTGTTTCTTTTTGCAGTGCTGGGGACTGAATCTAGGACCTCGCATGTATCATTTGAGTGGTGTGCCACTGAGCTACATGCCAGTTGTTTAAGTTGTCTTTATGGTTATATTTTTCATTATTTAAAATTTTTTAAAATACTTTATTTATTTATTATGTATACAATATTCTGTCTGTGTATATGCCTGAAGGCCAGAAGAGGGCGCCAGAAGACCTCTTTACAGATGGTTGTGAGCCACCATGTGGTTGCTGGGAATTGAACTAAGGACCTTTGGAAGAGCAGGCAATGAATGCTCTTAACCATTGAGCCATCTCTCCAGCCCCCTATTTAAATTTTTTTTAATTTAAATATTTTGATCATATTTTCCCCTCCCTCAAGTCCCTCCAGTTTCTCTCCCCCTCTCTACTCACCCAACTTTAAGTTCTTTCTCAAAAAAGAAACAAAACCTCACTACAACAAAACCACCAAAACAAAAAATAAAATAAAACTGTTGTGGAAAAATCTTTTTGTACACTGTGAAGATATGTCATTCTGATTGGTTTAATGAAATGATGAACAGACAATAGCTAGGCAGGATTTTCAGGCACACAGGATGCTGGTAGGAAGAGAAATGGACTTGCCAGCCAGACACAGAAGAAGCAGGAAGGCAACATGGGCAGAAAGTAAATTGATAGAAATGGGTTAAGTTATAAGACTTAGTTAGAAACAAGCCTAAGCTATTATCTGAGATTTCATAATTAATAGAAGTCTCTGTGTGGTTATTTGGGAGTTGGCTGGTGGGACAGAAATATCTGACTACATGAAACCACATTCAAACACAAAACAAGCTGTAATTCTTTTCACTTTTTATTTTAGGATAGGGTCTCACTAATTTGTCCAGGCTGAAGTTGAACTTGTGCTCCTTCTGCCTGGACCTTTCTATAGCTGCTGCGATTACAGACCTGCACCGTCAGGTTAAAGAAGGGTAATTAGCATATCCATAACCTTAGATAATTATGTCTTTACAGTAAGAGCTTCACAGTATTCTAGCTATTCTTAAATTAACAATACATCACTGTTAACCAAACCCCCTGCTGTGCATACCAGAACCTACCACCCCCACCCCTCACCCCCATGTTTAAGTACAGCCGCATACCTATTGCCCAACATTTCCCACTTGTCATCCTCAGACTCTCATGACTCTTCTACTCTTGATATGCAAGAAGTCAATTTTTAAGCATAACACATGTGGACAGAACATCCTTTCCTTACTGCAGTGGCCACTGCACTCTTAAAGTATACTAAATAAATAAGCATGTTTGCTTTTTAAAAAAAAAAACCCATGCATGACTGAGATCATATGGTAATTCTATTTCTGTCTGTCATGTCATTTAATATAAATGTCCAACAGCTTCATCCACGCTATTGAAAAGGACTAAATTTTATCCAGTTGATGGATGGATAGTATCACATATGACAGATCACACACACACATTTTTTTTTAGTCATTCATCTGTGGATAGAAAATTAGTTTGATTCCTTCTAAGTGGCTACTGTGAATTGTGAGATAGTAGAGGGGTAGTACAGATGTGTCATTCACATAGTAATTTAAAGACAAGGAATGCTTACAACTAATAAATTCAGTTAAGGTGCAGGACACAAATAATCAGTACATAACAAACAGTAGCATTTCTATATATTGGTAACAAACAATCTCTTGAAACACATGGTGCCCCTCATCACATGGTGACTCCGCCTACCAAGCGCTGGTATTACAAGCATGTGCCTCTATGCTCAGCTAATAAAACCCTTTTTACAATTGATGAAAACACCTGAAAAGGGCAGGCAAGATGGCTCACTGCGTAGAAATACTTGCCACAATCCAGATGACCTGAGTTTGATCCCTGGGACCCAAGAGGTAGAAGAGAGAATCATCAGTTCCTTCAACAAGTCCTCTGACTCCGACCTATGCATTGTGGCGCATGCACTTCTACAAACACAAATCAATACTGTATAAAGAGCTAAGAATAAATTTTAACCAAGGAGGTTGTTGTATTAGTCCATTTTCTGTTAGTGTAATGAAACACAGGTTAGTTAACTTTATAGGGAAAAGAGATTTATTTATCTCAAAGTTCTAGATATGCAAAGGCAAAGCCCCATCATCAACTTGGCCATGGTAAAGGTCTCATAGAAAGGTTTTGATGATATGTTGTCATGGCAAGAATTAACTCAACTTCAGTACCATGAGGACTGGAGAAAGTTCTGAATGAGTGGATCCCTGAATCCATGTATGTTGCTGACACGGGCAGTGGATGCCTCCAAACCCATGCACATGTAAGTAGCACTAACTGGACTTTGGGGATTTTTGTTTGTTTGTTGGTTTTTCGAGACAGGGTTTCTCTGTAGCTTTGGAGCCTGCCCTGGAACTAGCTCTTGTAGACCAGGCTGGCCTCGAACTCACAGACATCTGCCTACCTCTGCCTCCCGAGTGCTGGGATTAAAGGCGTGTGCCACCACCCCGGCTTATTTTTAAAAAGACAAATTGGCAGGAGGACATGTTGGGGATTAAGGATGGGGGCTAAAGGAGGGAAATGGGGAGTGGATCTTTTTCATTGTATATATGCTTGAAATTCTCAGAACTAAAGTAGAAAATTAAACAAAGAATTAATTTAGCATCCCAGAACAACTACTTAATTAATTCTGTTGACACTCCCGAGTAGCTTAAGGATCTCCCATTGAGCTCTAGCTCTTAAAAGGTTCCATAACAGGGTCCTCTCTAAGACTAGCCTTCTGATATGTAAACTAACTCACAGAGTCCAAGTGATATCCAAAACCAAAGGTAAAAATTTCTCTAGTGACAAGAATAAAACATTTACGAGATAAATTGAAAGTGATTCACAGCAATGCAAAGGCAACTAAACTAGCCTAAAATTAGTAAGGAACCAAAAAAAAAAAAAAACCTAAATATCCAAAGCAACACTCGGGGAAAAGAACAAAGCTGGAAGCCTCAAACTCCCTGCCTTCAGCATACACCACAGGGCTGGAAAGAGGGCTTCAGCATTAAGAGCATTTTTGCAAGTTCAAATCCCTGCATCCATAACCACCTGTAACTCCAGCTCCAAGGGATCCAGTGCCGCCTTCTGACTTTCAAGGGCACTCACATGCACTTGCATACCCAGGACCCTACACACAAAACTAAATAATAAAATGGATCTTTTTCTTTCTTTCTTTCTTTCTTTCTTTCTTTCTTTCTTTCTTTCTTTCTTTCTCCTCCTCCTCCTCTTCCTCCTCCTCCTCCTCCTTCTTTTTTGAAAAAAAGAGACTCCATTATCAAGCTATAGTAACAAAAATACTAGGCTACTGACATAATAAAGCATACAGAAATAAACCCATACATTTGTTGCCAACTGACTTTTTTAGTTTTCTTTTGTTTTATCTTAGGAGACAGGGTTTCTGTCCTGGAACTTGCTCTTTGATCAGGCTGGCCTTGAACTCAAGAGATTCACCTGCTCTGCCTCCTGAGTGCTGGGATTAAAGATCACTGGGCACCAACTGATTTTTAACAATCTAGTCAATACACAATGGGCAAATGAAAGTTTCTTCAGTGACTGGTGCTAGGAAAACTTGATATTCACAGCAGAAAGAAGAAACTCAATTCCATCTTTTCACAAATTGTTTAAAAAAACACTTACTATAAGACCACATCTAAGAAATCACTTGAAGAAAACACATGGAGATCACATCATGACATTGTAATTGGCAAGATTTCTTGATGAGGTACCAAAAACACTGGAAACAAACACAGACAGACAAGTAGGATTACATAAAAACCAAAATGCTTTCATACAGCAAAGGAAACAATCACCAGAGCAAAAAGACTATTTATCTGACAAGAAGGTAATCTCCAGAATTTTAAATTTTACTGTGTGTGTGTGTGTGTGTGTGTGTGTGTGTGTGTGTGTGTGTGTAGGTCAGAGGATAATGTGCAGGAGTTGGTTCTCTCCTTCTATCATGGGTTCAGGGGTTCAAACTCAAGTCATCAGACTTTCAAGGCAAACACTTTTACCCAGTGAGCCATCCATCTTGCCAAGCCCCCATTTTTCCTTTTTCTTTTTCATATCTGAAATTGATTAAAAACAAACAAGTCAAAAGCTAAAAAGCAAAAACAAAATAAATAAAAACCTAAAAACTCCCCAAACTAATCAGCAAAAACTAGTCCAGACATTGGGGGCCCACTCCTGTAACCCTGGAGCCCTCGAGAGGCTGAAGTAGAAGGATTCCCACGAGATTAAGGCTAAGCTGGGCTAAAGGGGGAACCCACCTGAAAGTAATCCTATATTTAATGCAATCCAAATATCTTAATAAAAATTCTGTTATTCACCCCTTCCATATCGTCTTTGTTTTTATTGTTCTATTTTTTGAGACAGCATCTTACTCTTATGTAGGCCAGGATGACCTTTAACACACCATCCTCCTGCCTCTGGCTTGGGAATAACTGGAATTCAGACGTACATGACACTGCGCTTAGCTCTAAACAACATTTCTTACGACAGCCACAGAGCCCAGTGAAGTGGTACATACCTGCATTCCCAGCACTCAGGAGGCCAAAGTAAGAGTACTGCCAGAACTTTGAGACCTTCCTACACTACACAGTGAGTTCCAGGACAGCCTCAGTTACAATTTGAGACCCTGTTTCAAAGCAGAAACGAAAACAAAATGAAAAGACGGGCCACAGATATAGGTGGAAATGTTCCACGTCACTATCAGTATCAGAAAGATGGAATAACTGTTGTAAAAAAACACAAAACTTTCGAGTTTGAGCGAGGCTGTGAAGGTGCTAACTTTAACCCTCTTCAGGCCCCCCTTACACTGCCCAGCAACCTTCATATGCTTCTCCAGTTCGCTTAGTTACAGATGGCTGGTGACCCAGAAACAACAAAAATGTCTCCCAGCACTAGAGGCTGGGAATCCCACTACTGAGATGCCAGCATACTAGCCTCCTCCCTGGGTCACAGGTGGTGTCTTTCGCTGTCTTTATACGGTGGGAGGAGCCAAGGGTCTCTCTTGAGTCTCTCTCCATCTGGGCACTAACCTCATTCAAGAGGGATCTACCTTCAAAACCGTAGTAGCCATCCATCTTCCTCCTTTACTTTTACATTCTTTCTTTCTTTGCTGCTTTTCAGACAGGGTGTTCCCATGCATCCACGGCTATAACTGGTTTGTAGACCAGGCTGGCTTCACATACTCAGCCGTCCTCCTGCCTCTGCCTTCCGAGTCCTGGGACTGCAGGTATGTGCTACCACACCTGACTCAGGGATGCTTTTGATCTATGGTATTTAAAAGAAAATTGCACTCACCTATCAGAAGACCGTTTAAAACATTCCTCTCGCATCAGATCTAAAATTCCCTGCCTACTTCCCACTTAGTTGAAGGTCTTGCTTCGTATTTAACTGATGAAGTAATTTGTGTCTCCAATCAAGTGGCCTGGGTGCATCTGCACTTATGGGCTCTGCTCTCCCTCTCTCCCTCCCTCGCTCCCACTACACTAGGCTAACTAGTGTCTCTCTCTAATCTGGGTCTTACACACTTGAATACTTAGGTCTGGCACTTAGGTCCATATCACTTCCCACACCTCTACACCCTCATGAGGTACCATGTGGGTGCCAGTAACCACTGAGCCATCTTTACAACTCCTCCTCTATAGTTTCTCAAGTTCCTATGTTATTATATTCATATGTTCCTTTTTGTGCTGAGCAGTACACCACTGAGTGATTATATGACCTTTTGTTTACTCATTCATTTTCTATAGACATTTGGATCATTTCTGATTATTGGCTTTTTTATTTAGCTTTGATTTCAGATAGGGCTTCTCTCTCTAGTGCGGTCTCATCCCCATGGTACTAAGATTAGAGGTGTGATCCACCATGGCTGGCCCTAGTTGGTGACAATTATAAAGCTGGCATATGAATATCAGTATTTTAGCTTTCTATTAAACTACAAATACCTGAGACTATCAGCATATTGCTTATGAGCCTGCAATGAAGTTGCATATTATGGCTGCAACACATGGCAAATCGGTCCACCTAATGCCTGATACACAAGGCAGGAAGGTGAGGAGCCTGGCGTCGCAATATCCTCCTTCAACAACTTTCAGCCTATGGCCAGATGACCTTCAATTAGGTTTGATCTTTCCAAGTTTCCATCACCTACCAATAATGCCATAGGCTAGGGCCAAAAACTTTTAACACTTGAACCTTTGGGGCCGGTCTCCCCTCAAACTATAACAAGAGCTGTTTGAGTCATCTTTAAAATCCAATATGAAATTGCCATCTAAGGAGATTCCTCAAAGGATCTGTTTTGTGTCTTTACAAATTCTCTCCTCTATCTCAGGTTGGCCTTAAAAAGTCCCTGGGGACATTTATTTTGATTTCTTTGAATGGCTGTGCTGAGTGTGCCCAACTTTCTCAGAGAGGCGGCACCATATTACATTTCCGTCAGCAATGGAGGAGGGTTTCAGCTACTCCACATCTGTGCTTAAAACGTGCTACCCGCCCTTTTTTGTGAAGATAGTGTGTCCTGTATCCCAGGCTGGCCTTAGATTCTCTATGTAGCTAAAATTGACCTTGAATTCCTCACCCTTCTGCCTTATGCCCAATTTTTAAAAAATATTTATTATGTATACAATATTCTGTCTGTGTGTATGCCTGGAGGCCAGAAGAGGGCACCAGATCCCATTACAGATGGTTGTGAGCCACCATATATGGTTGCTGGGAATTGGACTCAGGACCTTTGGAAGAGCAGGCAATGCTCTTAACCTCTGAGCCATCTCTTCAGCCCCTTATGCCCAATTTTTATATTGTCTGTTGAAAAAAGATTTTCTATGTATGTTCTGCCTGCATGTATATTATACACACCACATAAAGTATTGAAACAGGCCTTTGATCCCAGCACTCGAGTCTGAGGCTAGTCTGGTTTATATAGTGAGTTCTAGACTAGGCAGGGCGTTTTAAGGTGAGACCATGACTCAAAACCCAAAAACAAAACCATAGCCAAAAAAAGGGGGGGGGCAAGATGAAGAGTTCAAGGGTGGAGGTCAGTTTAATGCTAGCCTGAGCTACATGAGACCCTGTCTCAAAGAAAGAAAACATGTTCTTTAAAAAAAAAAAAGGGAGAACATTTTTTTGAGAGGCAGTGAATTTCCTTGTTCCTTGCTCCTGGTGAAACACAATTTAGGCTTTGTCAAGGCAAACAAAGCATAGTTAGTCAGGGAGCGCTTCTCAAGTGTGGCTTTTCAACTGAATGCCTGCATGTTAAAAGCTGACTCCACTCTGGCTAGGTCAGATTCCAGGAGCTTCAACACCCTGTGACCGCTCCTATTTCTATTTTTCTTTCAACTCCACAGCAGCTAGAATTCCTTCCGGGTCTGGCAAAATGTCATACTGTGACTGCGCAGGCTACCTGTTAACTAATGACCCACAAGGAAAGCACGAAGCAACATCTGGGCACCCTGGGCTTTTCTTCCTCTCTGAAAGCCTGATTGCGATCTGCCCCGTGTCCAGTGACACTAATGTACTGTGCTCCGACTCTACTCCTGTGTGCAGCAGTCATAGAATTCCCCGGGCTGTAGTGAGCACGGGGCTCCTCTCACGTAGTTCGCTCGTCACACAATGTACTGGGAATGCACATAAGCACAACCATGCCCAGCTAGACTTCAAAATGAAAAAGATGTAAATGCTTATATGTTCTAAGTATCTATTACGTGTTGAGAAGATTCTCCCCCGTAGCTCCTAAAACCTTTCCTTGCTCGTCTCCCTTGCCTTAGGCCCTCCTAACAGCTTCACTTCTACACTCATGCAACATACACATACATAGTTCTGTGACCTATATAAAATATAGGAACCACAAATGAGAGAAAACATATTTGTCTGAGATTGGCTTAGTTCCCTTAATGGTTATTTCCAGCCGTATCTATTTTCCTACAAATGACACGGCTGAAAAATCTCCCCTTGTGTATATATGCCACATACTTTATCTAGTCCTCTCTCGTTGGACAACTAGGTGGATTCCATATCTGTGGTGAGCACCGCTGCAGACACATTGATTTGCAAGTATCTCTGTGATAGTTGAGTTGGACTCCTTTCAGTAAATACCAAGATATGGTATAGCTGGGTTATCTATCTAATATACATTTTTAGTTTTTTTCCTAAAATCCTCCATACTGGCTTCTATAATGGCTATTCAAGTTTACATTCCCACAAGCAGTATATAAGGATTCCTTTTTTTCCTCCACATCCTTGCCAACATTTTTTTTTCTTGAGTGCCATTCTGAATAGGGTAAATGGAATCTCAACATAGTTTTGATTGGCATTTGCTAATGAGGTCAAACATCTTTTCATGTTTATTGACCGAGGGGACAGATGACTCAGCAGCTGAGAGAACTGGTTGCTCTTCAAGAAGACCCAGCAAGCACATGGCAGCTCACAACCCATCTATAAGGTGATCTGACATCTTCTTCTGGGTTCATCAGACATAGGGCAAGCAAGTGGTACACCGACATACATGCAGGCAAAAGACTCAGACACATAAGATACAAATAATTTTAAAACACCAAGCTGGGGCAGGGATATTTCTCAGCACCAGCAGAATGCATGCTTCTAGAACGCATGACGCCTGGATTCAATCCCCATCACCAAATAAAACTTTTGAGCTTGGTAGTGCGTGTCTGAAATTCTTGTACTTGAGAGGCAGAGACAGAAGGAGAACAACTCCAAGGCCAGCCTTCTGAGATTCTGCCTAAAAAACTAAGTCAAGCCAACGATGGTGACTCATGCCAATAATCTCAGCACATGGGAGGCAAAAGCAGAGGGGGAGGGTCACCAGAAGCCACCTTAGTCAACACCACCACATTCCAGGCCAGACTGGGCTACTTAGTGTGACTCCGTCTTGAAATACCTCATCAAGCCAAACCAAAGAACAGACCGAAGCTACAAGTCAGCTGTAGAATGTACAAGGTTACAGGTAAATCCCACCCCAAAACAACACATAGATAGAATCTAAAAGGCTCAGCCCGTGAAGTGATCAAGTCTCAGGTTACACCAAAGATGCTACCATTAACTAAAAAACAAGAGACTATGAAATAGCTGCAGTCTGACAAGGGCTAGTATTCCAGGTGTGGACCACCATGCCTGCTGAAAGTGCATGTTATCCCACAGCTAAGGGAGTGGGTAATGTACAGATAAGAATGGGACAGGGACATACATCGTTCAGTCGGTAGAGTCCTGAGCTCACGAGCAAAATGTCCTGGGTTCCATCCCTAGCACCACATAAACTAGCCATAGTGGTGATACATGTTTGGAATACAGCACTTGGGAAATATGAGCAGAGTTTAAGGTCAGCCTAGGCTCTGGGATAGCTTTAAGACGTGGGCTCACTTATGTAGCCCTGGCTAACACTATGTAGGCCAGGCTGGCCTCAAATTTACAGAAATTTATCTGGGATTAAGTGCTGGGATTTAAAAATATATAATCACCATGCCTGGCCATGACATCTTCATAAAAAAAATAGTTATATAGATGGAAACATTTTCTAATTCGGCTTTATGCTTTTTTTTTTTTAACTGCCTCTGATGCCAAATTCACTTTATTCTGATTCCATGAAAATGAATTCTGGCCTTTTGCCAGCTGGCATGCTTGGAGGTCTTATTAGTGAAGTATTAGGAAGCCATTCTAGGACTTGGTTTTGCTTCCTCATCCCACAGCATGGACATCTCTAGCCCGAGGAGCCAGTCTGGGTTGTGCTCCCACAGTGCACACTTAATAGCTTCCCCAGAAACACCCCTAGGCAGTTTTTACAGTTGAGTACTCTGGCAGGATACTTCCTTCTGTTTGCCAGCAGCTGGAGGCTAGATTTCAGTAGGTTCAGTGTGGTGCCAGTGCCTGCTTAAACATTTAACAAGTCCCAGCCATACTGCTTCAGGTTGATTTCTCTGAAGTAGGTGGCGAGACTTTTCTAGACTAGTCCTGCAGGAGTTTCTGAAGACTACAAAGGTAGGGGTCTCCCGCGGATAGGCTAATCTCAGCCCTAGCACTAGTAATTAGGGTAAAGTTATGTTATTCTATCCAGCCCGCCTATATTCCTTAGCTTCCTTTACTCCCATTATTCCTACCTATTAAAGAATTCTTTATATTAAATTTTCCTTGTACAAAATACTATGTTATCGTTCCTCAAATCCAGCCTGATAATGAATTAGTATCAAGAGATAAACCCGCAATAGCATATGGGGACTGTTAACTAAATGCCTTCAGTCTGAGCAGTGCTCTTTGCAGATGGGAAGGGAGTGGCTAGCAATGTCTGGCAGGCGGCGACATCACAATCAAGCGACGTTTTGTGACTCATAGAGGACCAACTGACACAAATGTTTGAAATCCCAAGTGACTGCTGCACTGTGGTAGCAGAACGGATGACCTTCAAAACAGGGACTGGGCAAGCTCAAGTGCACCAAGTGCCAGCACAAGTTGCTTTGGGACTCAGAGGGCTTTCTCCATGGATCTACAAAGCTTATTTCTTAGAACTTTATGATGGATACTTCTGAATATGACAACTGAATCTTATGACGTCTCTCATGTGACAGGGCATTGAAGCTTGGACCCCTCCCAGCAGAAGCTGAAGCAGCTTGCCCTACAGTCTACAGAATAAGCCGCCGGCTTAAATGCCACAGACACTTGCCCGGATGATTCTTTGACACACTACCTTCCTCTACATTCACTGCAACCTCATTCAAAGAGCATTAGGCTCACAGCCAGGGTCAAATGTCAGCATGATCTGAGCATGCACACAACCTGAGGGCTTAGGAATCAAGCTGGGAAGAAGGCGTAGGCAAATTATGGCCCAGTATATCAGCAAGGAATAAACACTATGCTCTAACCTGAAGTGATGGACTAGATTCCTTTTTGCCCTCTGGGTAAACCTCTCAAGTACTTGTGGCAAACAGTTCATAAGGAACAAGAGATACCAGTACTATAGATTGTTATCTAAAGTATACCTGCTTAGCTTCCACAGAGGACTGGGGCTCTAACTTGGTAGAGTGCTTGCCTAGCATGAACAAAGCCCTAGTTCTATTCCTAGCACTTTATAAACTGGCTGTGGTAGTATAATCCAAGCACACCCGAGGGGAAAGAAGAGGGAGGAGTCAACAGTTCAAGGTCAGCCAGGTGGTGGTGGCACACCTTTAATCCCGACAGATCTGTCTTTGAGGCCAACCCGGTCTACAGAACCTGTCTCAAAAAACAACAAAACCAATAAATACTTAATAAGATCTTACACAAAATGACATATATTGCATTAAAATAGTGGCTGATGGGGGACTGTGAGCGAAGCACAAATAGAATGAGAACCCTATGTCAACTAATCATAGGGTGCTAACAACATGGAGCATGACTAACCCGGAAGAAAAGCCTCAGCTGGTGAGAACGTTCAGTCCCTGACAAAAGGGTAATCTCACATAAGATACTGGGTCCCTCCCGCAAAGCCCAGTCCTGAAAATAAAACAAGAGGGAAGTCGATGGAAAATAGGAAAATTTAATAGTTATTGTCAAGTGGTGGTGGTGCACACCTTTAATCCCAGCACTGGAGAGGCAAGGGCTGGAGTCTAGACTACAGAGTGAGTCCCAGGAGAGCCAAGGCTACACAAGGAAACTGTCTCCAAAACTCAATCATTTCCACCTTTGGATACATATTACCAACCCGCTTTCAAGTGATCAACCCCAGCTTAACTTCTCCCATATGCCACAAGTGGTAAGGCTGAAGCTGGAATTTCAACTCACTAAGAAAAGCCTAGAGACAGGTAATGCAGACTCCAGGGTGGGGGAGGTAACCTACAATGAACACCACTGTGGACATAGGAATCCGGGGAAGAATCTTTGCAGAGGTGTACTGTCCCCAATTTAGTGTTGGGATGAGCACTTTACTTTGTCACCACTGTAAGACAGCAAGCAGAACTGTCACGTCACAGTAGCACTGAATCCTGGAGCGTGTTACAAGGGTAGTTGGGTAGTCATACAGGTCACACTGAAAAGCCCAATCTTATATACCCTCAGGCACTGGGGTGTGTATTTCCTTCAAGGCAAGGATATGTTGGAGCCTTCCTTAGGGAAAAAGATTCTGTCAGACACAGATCTCAGATTTGTAAAACATATTAAGACATACTTTTAGAAATCATTTCTGTGGTTCATTCAAATGTATTTTTTTAAAATCTGAGGCTGCAGTATGCAGTTGCCACAAGGCACATGTGCTGGTCTGAGAACTTGCAGGAGTCCATGGTCTCTTACCATGTGGATCGTGAAGACCAAACACAGGTCGTCTTGGTGGCAAAAACACCTTTACCCCTGAGCCAGTCTCATGTAGGCCAAGTTGGCCTAAACTTCCCGCATACATCACCATGCCTAATCTATACGGTGCCAGGGTCTGAACCCAGGATTGTGTACTTGTTAGGCAGGCTGAGTGTAGATTTTGAATATAGACGTGGAAGAGAGGGATGTGGTGCAAAGTAACTAGAAAGGAGACTATGAGGGGAAATAGATCTTAAGTAGGGGTTATTAAAAGGGGACTACCAAGAGGGCAGCAGCGGGGATAGAAGAGAATAAAAACCAAGTTGTGTACAGATCCCACAATGAACTCCATTACTTCCCATGCCTATTACAAAGAACTAATTCTAAGAAATTGTTACCATGGTTCTCCAACAAACTCTCAGGGTCAAAAAGCCTTCAGAGCATACACGTAAGTCCCCTATTTATTGAGTTGGAGTTTTACTGTGTAGCCCTGCCTGCCCCTGCCTCCAGCATCCTGGGACTAAAGGCCTGTGACTACACCCCTAGCCTAGATGGCACATTCTGACAAAGAGGAGCACACACCCACTCATTTCAGAAGAGCAAAGAAAAGGGCTGGATGGATGGCTCAATGGTTCGTTCAGAGCGCATACTGTCCTTGAGGAGGACGTGAGTTTGGATTTAACTCCAGTTCCAGGGGTCTGATGCCTGTAGCCTCCATGAGCACTGATCTGCAGGCGCATGTAGCGTCCATGAGCACTGATCTGCAGGCGCAGATTTACACAGTGGGGAAAGAACTTGAAGCAACTGTAAATAAGTAGGAGGGTAGCTTTTAGGAAAAAAATCCCAGGACGGGTGGCTCCACCTGCACAAAGAAATCTAATTAGGTCAGATCAAACCAAATTAAAATGTTCAATCTCTATTAAATATGTCGCTCTTGGGTGGTTGAGCACATAGCAGGGAGACAGGAAGCGGGGAGCACATGCAAACCCAGAACAGGTATCTCCTCTGAGAGCCCACTTAAATACCCTGTGGGAGTGGTCAGGACCTGGCATGCTGGGATTTGGAGTCCAGACCAATGCAACTCCCAGGCCAGGGGGCTGGGATGGATGCCAGGGGCTGGGGCTATGCTCCAGACTTAACAGTAGCCTTTGCAACAACACACTTAAACAAATGGCTATCTGTATTTGAAGAAATACATTCAACTTTCCTATCTCATGCTAAAAAATTGATTCAGAAAGTGTTATCCCCATAACAAAACCTAAAACTACAGGACAGAGTAGACTGGCTGGCCGGTAGCCCCAGGGATCCCCTCTGTCTTTATCCCCTGAACATTAGGAATACAAATGAACCTCCATTCAGAGCTTTTCACTTGATTTCTGGGGATGGAGCTCAGGTTCCCAGTCTGACCAGGTCATTAACTATGTTTGCCAATGAAGTTTTGTGAAGCCAGCCTTCTGCCACCCTTAAAGTTATACTTCACAGATAAACTAGAAACCTCCCACACAGAAGCTTATCATTACGGGTTGGTTCCTATTAGCATCACTAAAGGACTGAAAGTTAATAGCATAGACAATTTCTTACTGACCCATCCTTACCCTTGACCCTACCCATCCAAGATATGCAGGAAATCAAGGTAGAAGCAGCAGGGGAAATTCTTGGTAAACGACAGTGTATGATATCCTCTTCTTCGGGGTGATAGGTCTCTCATTTCATTTTTAGGTTAAGGACTAAACAATATCATCTGAATGACCATGTTTATCTAACGTTAACACAACACAATAAAGGAAGGCCAGTGGTCTGCCCACCTCAGGGACTCTGGGTGGCCCCTTACATTAAGTATCAGCAGTGCCCTAGAACTCAAGTTTAGGAAAGAAAATTAAGAAAGAAAACAAACAAACACCGGAAAGCCTAAAATGAATTTCTACTTTCAAAAGTGTTAAAAAAAAAAAAAAAGATCCCAACACCACAAAGATACATGTTCAAGTTTTATTGGGGTTCAATACAAAACATTTCAAAAAGTGATCTATAATACCTAAGCTCTACATCCAATTACCAAATAAACCACACTTCCTGTACTATTCAAATTCCTTTATGACTAGTGGATAGCCAGAAGAATCAAGGACTTTTTTTTTTTTCAAATTATAGACTTTAGGCCCTTGGGTCTGTACATTCTAATTTGTCAAAAAGTTCTCTTGATAATTTCTACCCACTCCTTACTTTGAATTTAGCATTTATATTAACTGTAGTATTCCCTATACTAAACTATCTTTAAGAAACTCTAAAAAAAATGTAAAAGAAAAAAATGCTTGCTCGAGAGCCAAAAGGTCTTGACAGAAGCGCCTACTCAGGGAATCGTCCGAATATGAAAGGCTTAAGAGATGTTCTTCAAAGTACAACTACTGAAATTCACTCAGTGACCTCATCTGATGAGAAATGTGACCAGTGGGGTTTTAAAATTTTGGATCATTCTTCCTAATCATAATAGCTAGCACTAGATGACTCTTAAGAAAAATCTCAGAAGTTGAATTCATTCCTTTAACCCTACAACTAACTCAACCTGCTTCCTTTGAGAACATCAACACTTGCATTCCCAGCGCTTAGTTCCCAAACCCAAAGTGATGAACTAGAGCTGTATCATGATTTGTTTCCAAGACTGACATCTGAGGGTAAAGGGGAAACTATCATGACCTTGTGACTTATATTTGTTTTCAATTGCTTTCCACGATCCTAACAATGTTTCAAAAGTTTTTACTTTCATTTTCTGGCACTGCTCCGCCCCTTCTAAGTTTTCTAGGACAAGTGTGAGTATTTTTCCTGATATAGTTAATTCCCCCAAATGGTTTACTCTCTGAAAGTCAGACATGAGTGGACAAAGTTATCACTGAAGCATTAGGTTTCTGACTGAGTGTTCTTTTCCTTTGTGAGAGTGATTCTAGGGGTTGAACGCTAGGCTTCACTGGTATTTAGAAAAAGCACTCCACCGTGGAGATACAGTCCGGGCTAATTCAATTTTCCTACAGTCAGTGATCATCATCAGAGTTGCCCCATTACTTTGCCTAAACTATTGAATCTACACAAAGAGCCATGAGAACTTCTTGGGTAGGTACCTCCACTTACCAATTTCTTTGTCTCCCTCTCTTCATTTGGTCAGTTTTAAGCAATCACCACTCCCTAACTAAGGTCTAACCAACACTGATGCCTCCCTCCCTTGAGGACAGGAAAACCCTATATTGCCTGTACCAAACCAATTCTGACGGGCACTGGGTATGTAACTGCTGCAGCTTAGCCTCAGCTCTCCTCTGCTTCAACAACTCTGCAAAAAAAGCATGTGATCAAATTACAGAGTATTTCACACCACAAAGCACTTCAACCCGCTCTCCTCCTTCAGTGCGCACAACTTGCTCTCTCCAGTCTAAGTATTAGCTCTAAAGTGCCAGCTTCAAAATGCGCCCATATTCATTACAATTACCGTAGGCATCAGCACTGTAATAGGAAAATCAGATACCCTGCCACACTGTGCCCACGACATTCAGAAGTTGCAGTGGCAGCCGTATCACTAACCAGCCCATTAAAAACAAGCAGGCACTGACAGCATGCATGCAATTCATACAACGCTGCTCACACAGGAAACCATGAACTAGACAGCTCTTTCCACAATAACTCTTGCAGGCAAAGAGCTGGTGCTAGCTAATTCAGAAACAGCTAGAAGTACCATCCTATGGGTACTCTAGTTAGTGAGCATACATCTATATACCTTCACTCAAAATGCATGTGCTCGGTTTTCAGTGACAAAACAATTTCATCCTCATGCCCAGAGTTGAACATTAGTTCTGTTTATAGACAATTTAGGAGTCGAAAAATACTTGCTAATAATGCCATAGCCACACAATGACAAAGCTACAGTGTTTAAACCTTGAAGGATACTCCTTTCAAACACTTACCTGCACATTTGACTTTTTCTTCCGGCCAGCTTAATCTGCTGTGAACCAATCAGCACTCCGTGACGTATGACCATCGGGATCAACCTGCAAAAATTACATAAATGAAAGCTAGTTATTTCTCTAAAGGAAGATTTTAAACACTTGCCTATAGCTGCCCCTTTTATCCCAGAGAGAACAGGCAAGTTCAGACTTGTAGCTTAATGGATCATTTCATGTTCTACTACTTGTCTTAATTGGTGGAAGGTTCACTGGCTTGGGATGGACTGGAATGGCTTAAATGGTTAAGTCGCATGGCTTATGGATTCTCATTCTTTTCCAATGGTGCACTGCCACGTTAAATCCATAAGTTGAACTGACAAAACATTTGAAGGAATAAAGTGCAGTCTAAGGATTTTTAGTTGGAGGTCTTCAAGTTTACTACATTCAAGAGCATCTTTTTCAACTTCATGGCTGGACCTGGGTCATGCTGCCTCAGGTTTCTGTTTTAAAGACCACTTGCAAAAGATTTTTCTCCATACACTGTAGTTTCATAGAACTAAAACAAGTCAGGCATCCAACTAAAGGTCAAGTTTGCAATGGCTTATAGGGGCCAGAGAGGGGGACCCCAATCCTAAGCCATTTCTTATATTGACTAAAAACCTAATTTGAAAAAAAGTCAAAACGTGAAGCATGTTTAAAGGTCTTCATCAAAAATTTGTGGAAAAAAAAATCACCCCCTCCCAATTCCCAGATTGCTATTGATAAACAACAGCTGCATTAATGCCTTTAAGTCTCATACATGCTTTAAAACTCCAAGTGTTGAATTTGGAAGACTTCTAGTATGCTATTGAACATTTGTGGGTTTTTTTTCTCAAAAGGTTTTTTTAATCTAGAAGGCATTTCCATTGCCATGAAGTACAGTACCGTTCACTGTACTATGAGGAAGGGAAGTGTTCAATTTCGACTTAGACGGAAAAACTAGTTTGCTTTGCTTACCATCTCTGCTGTTTCACAGGCATTTGGTGCTTTAAATCTGATGTGGAATGCGGATAGATTCACTTTTTAGAAGTCATAAGCCTTTAGGAAGTTGGAGATAACTTCATTGCTTATCTATTTTCTCCTTTGCAATCAAGCTGTTCCTTTAAAAGTGAGACACTACAGAGTTGCAAAAATTTGAAACAGTAAGAGCAAGCATCGGTTCTGCAGCTTCATGGTTGGTTTTGGCCAAACGTTTTATTTAGTATTCTGTAGTTGTTTAACACACACTTAAATGGTCTTACTAGGGGAGGGGAATAAGGGAGGTTCTTGTAGATTCCCAAGGAAATGTCAGAAAAGCAAAATATGGCCAGCATCCATTTGCTTTTTGGGGTTTCTGGGCAAGTAGCACATTCTTAGGCATCTGGTCTCAGGTTTTTTTTTTTTTTTTATACTGTCATCATTGAGATTTCAGTTGGAAGACATCCTGAGATCCTGAAATCCTAAGAGGAGCACACCCAACCAACCCACTCTACCAGTTAGCTTGTCTGCAAAGGCAGGCAGGGCGATTCATCGCTCAGCAGAACAAAGGCCATCTAGATGGCTTAGGTTTGTGGAAAATCTTAGGATTGCTTTTCTCGGTTAGTGAGAAAAATCAGGAGTGGCCGTCAGGGACACGTTAACTTGAAAAATCACAACACTAGTACAAGTCAAGGCTTACACATTTAACAATTGCTTGTTGAAAGCAACTCATAATATCAAATAAAATTAAACACGTCTTACTTTTTTCCTCACAAGAACATAAAAATTATTAAGGGGAACAGGAAATTTTAAAAAGGTAACACAATTTTTCCTTTTAGTAGTCCTTGGGTACTTTATGACAGAAAGGTTCCATTTTTGTTTGTTTCCTTGAATGGGGACTTTTGGTCCAAAAGTTTTGTTTGTTCCTAGTATCTGCTTCTGCCTCCCCCTCTATCAGATCGGCTTCCTCCACGGCCACCACCTCTTGGTGCTCCGCGGCTTGAACTGCTGTAGGAATCACGTGGAGGAGGGTAGCCCCTTTCCATAGAAGGGGGAAGCCCTCGTTCTTGTCTGCCAACGCGATCACGACCACTTGAGTAGAGATCACTTCGGCTGCTTGAGTAACTGTCTCGACTTCCACCATATCCGTCACGTGAGCTGCTGTAATCATCATAGCGACTGCTTCCACCATAAGATGGCGGGGGCCCTCGTGTAGGTGGAGCACTACGTGAGTTACCTGCAGGGTCAATGGTCAGGTAATATGGCAACACTATAAATTGTATATATACAACATTTAAATCTGAATTTACAGAATTCTTGTATTATAAGTTTACTTTCTCAACTGGGAAGTTTTAAACTGTACCATTGCTGGCCATAAGAGGGAACTGCTCATCTGCTGAGATACGGAAATGGATTGAGTTTAATGTTTGTTTGAAAAGACTGAAGACGTTGTGTATTTCAAGAGGACATTCCAGACAGCTTGTTATTTTAGAGTAGACACTCAGCCACTTTCCAGTGATAAGTTGCAATTTTGAACTGTTGAGTTTCCTTCATATTGCAATGGTAAATATTTGATCTTGTTAATAAATTTTTTTAAAAATTGTATTTTCACTGTTGAGGGAAAACACATAAGGCTGCCAATTTCAGCAAGCAAAATCCCCTCCAAAGCAAGCGAACAGCCTCAAACGAAAAGAAACAAAAAAGGAAACAAGGAAAGAACCAAAAAGTCCTTCACAAAACTAGGAAAAAGCCCAGCTGATAAAGTTACCCCTTGAAAGCAAGCAAAGGTCCCTTTAAAAGCAAGCACCACGCAGCCTATTAATCCAGCTCATGAACCTAAAACCTCAAGCTGGTGATATTTAAGATCCTTAACCAGTATCTTACCATAACTCTCATATGAATCTCTGTAGGACCCTCCACTTGGATGATCTGAATAGTCACGATCCCGGCCATATCCATCTCTATCACTAAATAAAAAGCAATTTTAATTAAAAAAAATATATATTTCCCCTAAGTTACATGTTTATTTTATAATATAAATGTAATAAATACACTTTAAACATTCCCCCAAATCCTTAAAAAGTAGAAATGTCAAATCTGTTCATTTTTTAGCTCTCCATAACTGTGTGAGCATGAGGAGACATGTTCTTGCTATGATGACCCTGCAGGGGTGAGAAGACAACTTTGGGGCCCTCTTCTCCCCCTTTCACCTTGCCATGGCTTTCAAGGCTGATACTGGCTTGCAGGGCTTACTTGGAAGGTGCTTTTTAACAGCCGAGTCACCTGCCAATCCCTGGAGGCATGAGTTTTACAGCAAATACTTAGAAACCATGCAAGTAGCTGCTTACCTATAGCCTCTGGATGGGTAGTCATCACGTGAACTGGAATGGCCATAATCACGGTAAGTATAATCTCTTGGTGGTGGTGCGTAATCTCTTACATCACGAGAACTTGGATAGTCTCTGCTTGAATAGCTACAGAAAGAGAATTTGGTTTATGCCTCTGACGTGCTCGTGTCCAACACTAATTCTTCACAAAAGAAACTGCACTGTCTGTTACCTGTCTTTAGTGGAATATCCATCATCTCTTGGGGACAAATAAACATCTCTGCGAGAGGGAAGGGGCTCCCTTCGTGGCGGGCCTCCATAACTATCTCTTCCACGTGACACGGGGGCTTAAAGGAGAAAAAAAAAACATTATCAAAATCTAGCCATCAAAAAACTAAAGTGTGGGGCTGGAGAGATGGCTCAGAGGTTAAGAGCATTGCCTGATCTTCCAAAGGTCCTGAGTTCAATTCCCAGCAACCACATGGTGGCTCACAACCATCTGTGGTGGGGTTTGGTGCCCTCTTCTGGCCTGCAGACATACACACAGACAGAATGTTGTATACATAATAAATAAATAAATATTTAAAAAAAAAAACTAAAGTGGTATACATAATAAATAAATAAATATTTAAAAAAAAAACTAAAGTGTGGCTGGGCAGTGGTGGAGCACGCCTTTAATCCCAGCACTTGGGAGGCAGAGGCAGGCGGATCTCTGTGAGTTCTGAGACCAGCCTGGTCTACAAGAGCTAGTTCCAGGACAGGCTCCAAAGCTACAGAGAAACCCTGTCTTGAAAAACAAAAAACAAAAACAAAAACAAAACAAAACAAAAAAAACTAAAGTGTGAATGTTACACTCAGGCTAGACAAGACAGCGGTTTAATCAAATACCCTATGTAGCTAAAACAGGAAGCTTCCTAGTCACATAATTTCAATGCTTATTAATTATGAATATGAGATTAATTGGAATCCGCAAATCAGTCTTAAGCATAAGCATTAAAAATATTCATGTGTGTACGGTGGGGGAATATGCACACTGTGATGCAAATGCAGTCCAGAGGACAACTTGTCTCAGTTTTGCCTGTGAATCGGGGAGTGGATTCAAGTTCTTGCGCCCGACTAGCAGCAAACGTTTTGACCCACTGAGCTGTCTCACTGGCCAAGCATTTAAAACAACAAAAATAAAAACCAGGGTCTCTCCATGGAGGTCTTGAATTCATGTCAATCCTATCTTCCCCAGTGCTAAGGCTGGACATGCACCCCCATGCCCGGCCTCAGCATAGTGCCATGGGGGCAGCACAGATTTATTGCAATGCATCCAACAATTACCTCTTCCTCCCAGCCCACTGCTGCTACGAACTGGCCCTGAAGGTGCTGATCTTTTAGGGGGAGGAGCCCCTCTTCGTGGTGGTGGTGGTGGTGGTCCTCTTTTAACTGGAAGAGGTCCCCTCGAAGAACTCATGGTAAAATTCATGGAATAGCCACCATCATCTATATTAGAATAGAAAGACATTTCATTAACACAATAGTCAAGAACAAACCATTAACACTCAAGAAGACTAAGAACTATTTGCCCCATGGAAAAAACACAAAGAATTATGTGCGTCTTTTTCTTTTCTTTTTTGGTTTTCCGAGACGGGTTTTTCTCTCTAGCTTTGGAGCCTGTCCTGGAACTAGCTCTTGTAGACCAGGTTGGCCTCGAACTCAGAGATCTCTGCCATCTCTGCCTCCCAAGTGCTGGGATTAAAGGCAGGTGCCACCACTGCCCAGCAAACATTTTTTTTTTGCTTAGTTGGGGAGGCTAGGTTTGTTTTCCATTGGGCAAGATCAAGCATGACAAGAGTTCAGGACCAGCCTGAACTAATAAGGGAGACACTGTTTCCAAAATCCAGACGTCCAGCAGACTAGGAAAAGTAGTCCCAATCCTGCTCGTCACTCTTTTTTTTTTCCTTAAGTAAGACTATTTGGCCCATAGGTTTAACTCTAATTCAGGCCTCCCATATTTTCAAGTCATCAACACTACACTAATAACGGAGTGAGCAGTCTCCATTTCAAAGGCAGCTCTCAGCCTGTGGGTTGTGATCTTAGAAGTCCAACAACCCTTTCACAGTGGTCACATATCAGATATTCTGTATATCAGATGGTTGAGCAAAATTAGTTACAAAGTAGTAATTAAATAAGGGTATGGTGGTGGGGGGGAGGTCACCACAACATGAGTAACTGTATTTAAGAGTCTCAGCATTAGGAAGGTTGAGAACTACTGTTTCAGCCTTTCAAAAAGAAAAGACCCAGGTGTGGGTCTCCAGCTTTCAACTTAAATACCAAGCCTGAGTTCCAATCAAATCATTACCCATGTGTCCTCCACGTGAGGGGGGTCCTCTAGTTCCTCCGCTTCCTCCTCTTCCTCCTCGAAGACCTCTGGGAGGGCCTCTGCTTCTTGGAGGTGGAGGTAGTCCACGCCTACTACTTTCAAATGATGGTTTGGTGGCTTGCTCCACCTTGATGGCTTTTCCATCTAAGGACTATTTTTTTAAAGAAAAGAAAAACAAAAAGTAAATTTTATCATTATTTAGAAGAAACTGAGAAACTCTTGTTAGGCATATAATGTTTACCATTTGCTACAAACTTTGGTTGTGGACTCACAATAAAAGTCACAATAGAGACTTGGTCTTTTGTTCCAGCACTCGGGAGGCAGAAGCAGGAAGACCCGAGTTTGAGGTCAGCCTGGTCTATATATAGTCAAGACTATGGAGACACCCCCCTCCACTCCACTTACTGAACAAAAAACAATACAATACAATTCAGGATAGTACTACTAATGGCTACGATCAAGTCTCTGGCTATACACACATAAAACGAAAATTCCAAAGCTGCTCTGGACCCATGCTTGGACAACAGTATTTTTGTCACTAGGAAATTATTGTCACCATGAAACCCCTTTTTTATTAAGAGACAACCACACCTTTCCATTCATATCTCTGGCAGCATCCTTTGCGTCTGCTGGGCTTTCGAAGGTGACAAAAGCAAATCCTCTTGACTTGTTGGTTTCTCGGTCCTTCATCAAAAGCACTAAAACAGTTGGAGGGGGGGAGGCGGTTAGTTTCCTTCAAATCAAATCACCGGAGCAACTTCACAAAAGCAAGCTCAGAACTTCTTAGAGGACAAAACACATTATCATGTTTGGTCATCAGTTGATTCAAATTCATCATAGCTCGTCTTCTCATTATAACAATATAGCGGATAGTTTTAGATAACTCACCTTCCACTATCCGTCCATATTTGCCAAATACTGCTTCAAGGGCTTTCTCATTTGTCTCTGTATTGAGCCCACCAATAAAGAGCTTTCCTGGGCGATCTGCTTCAACCATTTTCCCTTCCAACCGATAGGAGGCTGCTGAAAAATAATATCATCATCTCTGGAGAAAGTTCCCTAAGTTTACTGAACAGCTTTAATCATGGCTCGGGCTTTATTAAAATCTTTATTCCTTCGTAAGGAAAGACTCCGATAACCCTCCATAACAGTAGAAAACCAACTGAAATACTTTTGGTTAACAGTGCAGTGAAGTTTTCTTTAACCAGCTTAAAGGGGCCTGCCTAATTAGCCAATCCTCTTCCTCTGCCCGGCCGCTTTTAGTTAACGAACTGCTTTACAACACCTGAAAAGGCAACTTTTACTTTTGAATGTATTTTACTTTATACAAGGTAGCAGCCTCAAGAGTGCCAGAAGTTGGCCACCACACCCGCCTATTGTATTCATTTGTCATCTTCTAAACAGTCCGTTACTTGTCACCCCACTTGCTTCCCCTCCGTGAAGGGTGTAAAAGACTTCCTATTCATTCAAGGTCATCAGCCGGCAGCGCTAAGTGACGGCCAAGCCCTTTTCTCGTTTACTTTTCCTAGTAAGTTTCCGCGCAAAACTCCTAAGTTAGAACAAAGTCGCCGCAGCTAACCCGACAAAGGATTGCTATCCGATTGAAAAGATAAACGGTGCAGGAATCACAAGATAAGGGAACTCAAAATCACACACTGTTAACACTCTTTCCCTGTGCTGGCACCTAATTAAGACTCATTAAAAACCGCGTGTTAAAGACAAAATGGCGACACTTGGATACAACCCAAAACCACCAAACAACCGCCGGACAAACTAACTTTTGCCACTGACAGTGGCAGCTAAAACTCCAAATGCTTCCTCTCACCGCCAGGACCAGAGAAGTTGCAGAAAAGTCCACCAGCCCATCCTCGGCACAGGCGCTGTCCCGGTGCTAGCTCCGCCGTCCCTCCGCTTCCCGCCCCACCTACAAAGCTGCGCGCTGCGCCCTCCGCCCTCAGGCGACAGGCGACAGCCAAACCTCCTGCAGACGCGCACGCAAGATAATGGACCCCCTAGTGTGCTACTTCCACCGTGTCGGCTTTAAATAGGCTTGCACCTTTGGGCGTCTTAAAATGGCGCCCGCCACCACTATCTCCGGGGAAACAAATGATCTCGAGCCCTAAGGTGACAAGGACTGTACGGAAAACCTGGCAAGGGAAGGAGGCTCCTACCCGAGGGGACGGCGACGTTTCAAGCTCCAACGAGCTCGCCAGTGGAGCCTTCCAGCAGCGCAGCGCCAGTGACAGCTGCCGAGTCTCGAAACGGAACAGAAATGACGCTAGGACTGCTGCGCAACGAGGGCGAACAAAGGAGACAGCAATCTTTATACTACCCGGGAACGAGGCTGAAGAACCCGGATGGAAATTAAGCTTAGAATTTGAAGCACGGAGGGAGGGAGGGGAGTGGTTCCCAGACTCTTCATTGGCCGTCTCCCGCATCACTCACTGTTTGCTCCACCTCTTTCCCGTGTCTCTTAAAGTTCTTGCCGGTATGCAATTTTAACCATTTGCCCTGCCCCCACCCATTCTCCTCCAAGGCGCCTTTTGGCTCTCTGCTAAAACGGTGCGCCGGATTTATTGAATCCGTTTTGAGCGACTTAGTACGCCAAGCACGGTGCAAAACTTTTGCATAACATCTTAATTCCAAAAGTAATGTGAAAATGGTAGATAGTACAATGCCAGTGTAGTAGAAATAGCAAACAAAGAAGTTTAGTTGCTACCCTATAACTGCCCAAATTTTCTTGAGCAATTAACTAATAAATGGGAAGAATCTGGTAAGTAAATGTTAGGTCAAAGCAACTGGAATGGCACATAAAAACCATCCATACAGAACAATTACTGACAACCTATTAGATCTATATACAACCAAGAACAAGTAAGAATAGGCTAGGGTGCCTCAGAGACTGCCAAATGAAAATGCTCTATGATAGCCGGGTGCTGTCCCAAGTCTTTAACCTCAGAACTCAGGACGCAGAAATAGGGCATCTATGAAGCTATGAGTTCCATAACAACCTGGATTCGTTAGATGCTGTCTCAAAAATCCCGGCAAAACAAAAAACAAAAACAGGAAAAGAATGCTACTAGTTGGCCGGGCGGTGGTGGCGCACGCCTTTAATCCCAGCACTCAGGAGGCAGAGGCAGGAGGATCTTTGTGAGTTTGAGGTCAGCCTGGTCAAGAGCTAGTTCCAGGACAGGCACCAAAAACTACAGAGAAACCCTGTCTCGAAAAAAAAAAAAAAAAGAATGCTACTAGTTATATTTGAACTTCAAGTGAGCATTCATAATTTGTGTTTTGAGATAGAGTCTCAATCAGGCTGAGGCTGGTCTTGGAACTCACAGCCGTCCTCCTGCCTCAAATTCCCAAGTATTGAGGTTACAGGCATAAACTACCATAGCAGGTTCTGATTCTAAGCTTTTATATGCCTTGTGGAGGGAAAATACATTTTAAACCTCCCTTTGAGTCAGGGAAATTCCTTTTTTTTTTCTCCCTCCTCTCACCCTGTCCCTGAACAGGTTTTCTCTGTTTAACAGCCCTGGCTGTCCTGGAACTTGTTCTGTAGACCCGGCTGACCTCAATCTCCAAGATTCACCTGTCTCTGCCTCTGAGTGCTGGGATTAAAAGACCTATGCCACTACCGCTCAGCTGGTGAGGGGGTTTTAATTTCCTTACAAATTAAAAAATTCACCCTGGTGTTGTGGCTCATACCTTTAACCCCAGCACTTGGGAAGTAGAAGCAGTTGGATCTGTGAGTTTGAGGCCAACCTGATCTACATAGCAATTTCAATGACAGCTAGGGCTTAGTGAGACCCTGTCTCAAAACAAATCAAAATCAAACAAATAAAACCCCAATTAACAAATAGAAACGAATGATCGTATATTGTGGCTAGTGCCAAGGGAAAGTAAACTGCATGGCTTTAGTGAACAACATTAGAGAAGAAATTTGATCAACATATCAGAAAAGCAGGTTGCGGTGGCTCATGTCTGTCATCCCTAGGCTCACTAGGCTGAGGTAAGAGCATGATCACCAGTAAGGCTACATAAAGACCTCAGTCTGCCTCTGAAGTCAGAACCAAAAGCCAATCAGGGAAGATTATATAT